ACACCCATGTGAGTAGGACCCCAAAGGATCATCATTAAATTTTGATACAGATCCCTAGAAAAGTTATCAATAAACCCATTCACCCAAGTCCTACACCCATGAGATAACTTTTATAGAGATCTGTGTTGAAATTTAATGGTGATCCTTTGGGGCCCTACTCACATGGGTGTGGGAGGGTCTCATAGTATCATTACTCAAAAATTATTATTTATTAATTAACATACTTACTATGTTAATTTAAATATTTATTTAAAAAAAATAAATTTCTTATAGGAATAATATCAAAACATAAAAATATTAAAATTATTTAATAAATGAGCTTAAAATATAAACTAAACTTTATAATTGTAACTATAAATTATAATTTGTATTTATAAATATAGAATAAATTTTATAACTTTAAATATAAATAAAAATTATAATTGATAAATATCATAATTAATAAATTAGATTTGAATTATTAATATTAAATCATAAATAAAAATATTCTTCTTGCACAAAAGGTGCACATGAGATCACTCACCTTTTCATTTATTTACTTTAAACATTTTGGTGATCAAATTATTAGGTAATTTTTTTTAATCTTAGTTACCTATTTTATGACTTTATAGGTGCAATATCAAGATTAAAAAAAATATGAAGGAAGAAATGTTATGAAATGCAATTAAGGAAGGAAGCAAATTTCTTGAATTACAATATTAAAATCATGATTTTGTTTTATACCAGATCTAAATAAATTCTACATTCATGGTATTTTTCTTAAATAAATTCGACATAACTTTAGTGGGTGGCATGACATAGTGCCACAATGGAATTCATAATTCACTATAAAAAAATTGGTGTATTATATATATATATATATATATATATATATATATATGGATTTTATATGAAATCCCTTGGATAATGAGATGGGAATACATTTTAAATGAAGATGATAATGATAGTGGGATTATATTCCAAATCTAGAAAGGCAAGTTTATGTCAAATGGTGGGATAATTTTACCTATATGTAACTTGAGAAAGAAAAAATTACTTTAAAAAAGATTGTCCTAATTAATCTAACCATCACTAACGAAGCCAATGAGTTAATGGACTATTTAAACCAAATAGACACTAAACAAATTTAAAAAACAGAGCTTAAAAAGCAGCTCTTGATGGCTTTGTGAGAAGAGGAAGACAAAATGTCTACCTCCCAAATAGATGATGAAGGGCAGAATGAAGAAGAATTTGATCCAGATATTCTGAACCTTTCACCTCACAAAACAATTAAAAAACTGTTCAAGATAAGGGACGGCCCGACTACAGTCTATCTAGGACACGTGTCCCAAACCATACCAAAAAAGGCATCAGAAAAACCGAAGAAATATGAATTTTCACGAGAAATTACTGTAGCAAGGGCCACTATCGTAATCACTGTAGCAGAGGTCACTGTAGCAATCACTGGTTACTATAGCATTTTTACTATTTGGCAGATTTCAAGTCCACCGACACCATTGTGCGGACTTCAAAGGCTTTCAAGTCCACCGACACTACTGTGCGGACTTCAAAGGCTTTCAAGTCTACCGACACTACTGTGTGGACTGAAAAAGATCTTAAGTCCACCGACCAGACGAGTCTATAAAAGGGAGCCACCCCTCTTGTTAAAGGCACCTCTAAGTC